GATATCAATGATTGACAAATATTCAATTCCTACCCAGAAAGAAACTCTTGAACATGTTTATAGCATTTCTTGAATGGTATTAAAATAGAATTATAAAAAAGATATAACAAAAAACAGAGAGCGTTGTTGCATAATATTGCATATCAGTGGAATCCTCAAGAATACATCAAAACAAGCTCTTGTTGTTTCCTAGTTCAAATGGGGTTTAGAGAACACCCGTTACATGAAAATATAGCAACGAACTCTCCCAAGATGATGGGGGAGAAAACGAATCAAAGAAAAAATTAGAGAAAAGCCCTTCTTACTTCAAAGGTACCTAGTAGTCTGCATTCATTAGTCTTCAACTCGAGCCTCCAACAGAATGATTATATCGACTGGCCATGAGAGCGAATGTGGTCAGGGACCAAAATGAACAAAAGATGATGAGATATGAAAGATACAGAACAGAAATAATCATTACTCGAAAAAATATCTAGCATTTCATATGCTGGTGTGTTGTTTATCATAGTCCATTTGAGCTATATTTCTTCTCAACATCTCTGGGTGATCGATAGCAGTAATAGATAAATTGAATCATTATCTGACCATGAAATTAAGGAATAGTGATCAATTAATATAATATACCTACACAGATCATTCTTTATGTTCAAGATGGTTTGAACACAATGTCGTGTAGACATGCAACAAAGGATACAAAAGTATCAAGGAGCACGCACCCTCCAGCCATGGCAGATTCGGTCTTATCTTCGACCACTTTAAGCTGCTAACAAGTATACTACAGAACAGAAAACACAATATCAAAAATAAATATGAAATGGAAATGGAGACTCGTCTGGAACTTGTTACTTGAGAATATATAAAACTAGATATTGTACAATCTCAAAGAAATGATATGTTGGAAGGGTAAGGGTAAAATTCAGCAGTGATTTTTCTTACCTTGCAACATATGTAGCATTGCCAACAATAGCAAAGACAAACATTAGAGGATTCAGCCTCTGCATATCAATGTATTAGGATAGTAGTAAAAATACCACTTACACATATCAGACATTACTTCAAATTTCATGCATTTCTGGTTGTTGAATGGTCAAATATTTAGGACATGCATTAAAAAGGTAACGTTTTCCTCTTTTTTGACCTTATATCAAAACTGACCTCAACGTTTCCTCTTCTAATCTGCAGAAATTGCACACAACCAAGTTAGTTGTCGACCATGGTAGTCATGTTCTCAGAAATGATATTATAACTATCACACATGCTATGCTTACATTTAGGCAAATCTGTGGAAGAAGTCCACCCAAGTAGATAGCTGTCATTCCCCCAACCAAGGAATGATCCAATATTGCTGCTCTTTGTAACTGAAGTTTCTTGTTCAAAATCTCCAGTTACCTGCAATTATATATGTCAGCCTTTATTCCATTATGCTTCTAAATTATAAAGAACCACTAACACTGCAAGAATGAAACTTCCAAATGCACATGGCATTATTTAATCCATCAAAAGTCACATTATAATGAACTCAATTTTGAGACATTACAAGACATAAACCATTTCAGAGAGAAAAGGTCACATAGGAAATGTCAACAAAGAATCCACAGCAGAAAAATTCAAGGGAACAAAAACGAATCAATATGATGAGTTATAGTATGCATAAACCAAAGAATTTTATCATCATAAGCAGAAATTACATGTCCTTTTCCATTACCTTTAAAAGTTGTCTCCCTACTTGCAACACTACACCACTTGTTGGATTTTGTAAAATCATGTTGTGTCTACTGGTCTCTGCTTGTTGCAGGTTTAGACCGCCAATGAAGAACGTCATTAAGGAAACCTAAAGTACCAGAAAGTCAAAACCTTGATCCAAGAAAAGAATATGTGGAGATACTGACTATTTCTAATTTTAGCTATACTGCAACAAGACTCACCACACAAAACATGGTTTTTGTCTTCGGAGGTGCAGATTGCATTGATCTAGCTTCACCAAGCAATGGCTCTCTGGTACCATGATGTTCAACATCTGGAGTTCTCTGAAGTGGGAAAGATCCTACAGTAGGGGTGTGACTAATTTGAAGAGATCGTACTGACCTGAAAAGCACACCAGAGGGAGAAAAAGAGAATTTATGAGCAAAATTCTGAACATCTACAAATACAGGAATACACAAGACACGNACTGTCGTGACTTAGTTAGTAGTTTTTGCACAGAATACCAAATGTGGAGTTTGTTAGTTTTTAGATGTTTTGTAATTGGCAATTCTATAAATAATAGGATTGAATTGTACTATATTTAAAAAGTCAAGGAGTAATGTGCAAATAGTTGAAAATACGGTTATTAGGTCTAGGGTTCGAGAATGGCAAAAAGAGGAAAACGGCGTGGATTTTCGCTAGACTGTAGCCAAAGTTTGGTTCGAACTACAAAAGTAGAAACATTGTTGTGGACTGTCGCCCCTCCTTCACGCGAGCGACACACTGTCACGCGAGCGAAGTGTTTATCCGAAAAATTTTTATTTCGCGATTTAAAACCTTTTTACCCGACCCATTTGTTTTTCTAACCTACCTATATATACCAAAACACTTATACACGAAAATTTATGAGGTTGAACATTGAGAGAACTTTATCTGTGAGAGATTCATTCGATTTGACTGGAGTTCTAGTCTGTGAAGAACGCGGTGTTCTTCGTTGATCCATGGGAAATAGATGATTCCACAAGACTAGGATTGTTGCAGGGTAGTAGATCCCACAAAAAGCTTTGACAACAGCAGCTAAGGAATAGTGTAGGGGAGCACGGGATCCAGGGAGAGCTGTAAGGTGTGTAGTCGAGTGATCGATAGTACGGTTCATCTAGTTTGATAGACTATAAGTTGTTTGAATTGTTTATAGTGGATTGCCTGCAAAGTGCC